AGTTGCTATGGTTACCTTCAGTGCACCTTGGGCTTCATATTTCTCTATAGTTGCCCTGTGCTCAGGGTTGGCACTCAAATGCCATAAGGTTTTACTCAGTGTTCCTGCTCTGCCCACCTTCAGCTTCCACTCATCTCTGCACAACTTTGCCTCACAGAGTCTCTCCAGGCCTGACGCTCCCTTGTGGTAGACTGCTACTGCTTATTAATTGTTATTAAATAGCTTATTAATTATTAATTACTTTTGAGGCACATGGTAGGGGCAGGGAGTGCCCTCTGTTGTTCTCATCTGGCTTCAGTCTCAGGCATGTCTTGTGAGCCTGGGCCTTGGGAATTGGACTTGCTCAGTATGTCTAACTTGTATTAGGGTTCTCCAGAGAAACAAGAACCAATAGGGAAGATATATATAGTAATACATCTTTTTACACTTGCACTTTGTAAACATATTTGACAACTAATATTATCCTACCTTGTGTTACCACTAGTTCCCAACTCTATACACACAATAATGTGAAGTATTTATTCTCATGAATAATAAATATGGAATATTTATCAGTGTGAAATTTATTTATCAGTATGAAATTTATTTATGAGTATTTATTATTATGAAAAGTTTCCTCAGAAATTTTTATTTCTGTATCACAGTCTTATGGAATTTAACCTACAAAATGCTTTCACCACATTATTTCATCAAACATGAAAGCTATACATATTAGTATTAATATATGCATCTCAAGAAAAAGCTGAATCCCTTTGTGCCCCCGATCTTGGAGCAAGTACATAGCAGAGCAGCTCTGAAACTCAAGCGCTTCAGGCCGTCTGGTGCATCTCCTGCTCTCTCCATTACTCCCCTTACCACGTCCCTTGCGATGCCCCAAGCAGGGCGCTTTACCCACGATGTCCAGCCCTCCTTTGATCCAGGTATACATTTCTATATGCTACGGTCCATATGAGAATTTGAAAATCAGAATACTTATATTTATTTTAAAGTCACATTTCCATTTACAAACAAGACAGAAACAATAAGTAATGACAAAAATGCAAGGGCATGTGTGGACACATGTATGTGAGACAATGAAAAATTGAAAGAACGACAGGTTAAAATCAGCCCCCCTGGGAAGCAAAGACTTGGCCCACAGCTCGCCTTGGATGGCTAAGCTGGGGACACGGGCCATCCCTCCAACTCCAGCCTCTCCCTGCTGCCCCTCGGGTCGTCGAAGGAACCCCTCCCTGGCTCAGAGCCCCTGCGGGAGCCCAGCAGGACTGCTGAGGACGCTAAAGGCGGGGATTAATAATGGACTTTTTTCCAGCAATGATTCACAGAGCCTAACTCACTGCAACGGCCACCAGGCCCGCAGGCCCCCTGACGGCAGCCCACCCGGAGCACCCCGGTCCCCGCCCCGCGCCCCGCGCCCCGCCCCGGGCCCCGCTGGGCCCCTAACCCGCGGCACCGAAGCGCATTCGTGTGGGCCCCTCCTTCACATGGAGCTGGGATGGCCCTAGGGCGCCTGCACACAGCTCCCTTCCTTGCTCACGCCCGAGCCTTGGGCACCAGCGAGTAATCCCTCTTCCCGCACCCACACCTCCTGACTAGAAAAGAAAAGGACTTTTTAAAAAGTGTTCTGTCACATTCTGAAATAGAAATATGGAGATCCTATCCTGTGATTACACAACCTAAAGATGGCTCTGGTTTTCTAATGATGCAGCATTCAAGAACTTTCGTGGGCTGGCTCATCCCCTATAAAACCCAATAGTACACCCACTCCAGCCTAACCTCCGGTGCTCTGCGGCTTTCTGCAGATGCACCTGCCTCTCCCTCTCATCTGCATTATAAGAGTGAGGCTCGATTTTTTTTTTTTTTGCATAAAGATCCAGAGAGATAACTACATTGAAGACGTTACCCAAAATACTACTTCACTTTGGAAAGACATGAACCATACCAAGTGCTAGAAAATTGGAAACTGTGTTATTTTCAGTATAATTACGTTTTTCTTTTGGGTAGTAAATCATTGTACTAGTAAATAAACTGATGTAACAGAAGTAAACATTAACATGTATGACCCTGACGTGTGTTCATTGATGATAAATAAAAACCTACAAGGATCATAAAGGGACATATCTATCCATGTATGAGAGCTAGAAAAGTATTAAGGAGGGTCAACGTCTGCTACGGTCTTGAATGTTTGTGTCCCGGCAACATTTATAGGTTGAAAACCGCATGCGCAGGAGGATGGTATTAGGAGGTGGGGGTTTGGGAGGCGACTAGGACATGAGGGCAGATCCCTTATGATTGAGACTTGTGCTCTTAAAAAAGAGGCCCCAAGAGCTGGCTCATCCCTTCATCATGTGAGGACACGGCGAGAAGCCAGCAGTCTGCAGCCCCAAAGAGGGCTCTCACCAGAACCTCATCAGGCTGGCATCCTGATCTTGGACTTCCAACTCCAGAACTGTGGGGAAAAATTTTCTGTTGTTTATAAGCCACCCAGTTTCTTTTATAGTAGCCCTACCGCATTAAGATAGTGTCTAAATTTTTTAAAATGCTCAAAAGTCGTTGTTTTCTTTTTGCCATAATCCATTTTCTACTAAAAACTACCGGTTATTTCACTATTTTTCAAGAGAGGAAAGACTACTAAAACTTTTAAAGGACATTTTAAAGTTAGACAAATTTATTTTAAAACTATGTACATGAGTCAAAAGTGCAACTTGAAAACTTAAAAAGTGAACTTTGAACTTTTGCAAAATTGATGCAGTGTTCAAAGTTTTCTGTGTCATTAAAACTCTGTGTCTGAAACTGTAGGATTCCTTTGGAATGAGGTCGTAAGTTCCCTCTTCGGCTCCAACCTATCAGTTCCTTTCCCGCCAAGTTACCGCATTTTTAAGAACTGCACTGTCTGTCGCGGCGTCCTGCCAGAACCTGGAGAGCAGCAGGTAGAGCAGGCCCAGGGCCACCAGCAGGGCGGCCACGCCCAGCCTGGCCCGGCTCCAGGGCGCCCTCCTCCACTCCCACAGCGCGGCCAGCAGCCCGCGCCCCCGCCGCCTCTGCAGGCGGGCGGCCACGGTCTCCGCCACCCTGCGGAGCCGCTCCTCGGGGCGCGCGCCGCCCAGCGCCTGCGCCAGGCGGTACACGTCGTTCGTGTAGGGGGCGCCCCGGTGGGCCCCGACCAGCCGCTCCACCAGCGCCATCAGCTCGGCCACCTGGGCCTCCCGCTCCCCGCCGGTGGCGCGGTTGTCGAAGGCGCAGGCGCGGCCCCCGCACTCGGCCAGCAGCTCCCGCAGCGCGCGGTTGTCGGTGCAGCGCACGTAGTCCTGCAGCGAGTCCCCCGCCAGGTCCTCCTTCCGCGTGAAGAGCACGACCGTGCGCGCCATCACGCCGTCGCCGAACATGTCCCTCAGCCGCCGCGCGGCCTGCTGGTCCTGGGCGGTGAAGCGGCCCAGCTGGGTCACCAGGAGCAGGGCGTGGGGCCCGGGGGCCGAGAGCAGGTAGCAGCGGCCTCTCTCCCCGCACCCCGGCTCTGTCTCCGGGTCTTCGGCGCCGAACAGGTCCGGGGTGTCGATGACTTCCACGTGCCCCCCGGCCCACCTCCGGCTGCCCACGGCGCAGGTTCTGGTCACGGACGCGGCTCCGAGCCTGGAGAGGAACCGCCTCTGGCCCAGGATGCTGTTGCCCGTGGCGCTCTTGCCGGCTCCTGTCCTCCCGGCCAGGATGAGCCTCAGCCTGGGCTCCTGCGGGGCCTGCGCGGCGTCTTCGGCACCTGTGCGGACAATTACTCGTGAGCTGCACACCTTAAAGCAACTTAGCCAGCTGAGCTGCATCTGCTGGATGCCTTTAGTGCAAAGGAGAACAATAGTGCCTTCAACCTTTGCTTTTCTAACAAACCTTTACTGAGGAGATCTGGTTGGAGATTTTTGGACTCTGGGGGATCTTAGCCCATCTATTTCTTTCCCCTTTGGCATCACCACCTGCACCTGGAGATTCCCCAACGCCCCCGTGGTGTTCTCTAGAGAATAGCCCTTTATAAATCCAGGCCACGTGGACTGCAGCTGACCTGATCTCCGGTCATCCTCACCGTGCAGAGCTGTTCCACAGGTGACAACCTCAGTGGCCTCTGTGATACTCTCCAGATGCCATCCCATGAGGAAAGGCAGTAGGCCTGGGAATGAAGGGCTGTCCGGAGTCCCAGACACCTGGGTTTGAATTACAGCCCCACCATCTGCCAGGTGTGTGCGCTAGGGAAGCTGCTTAATCTAAGAACTAGACCTGTTCTGCAAAAAAGGAAATAGTAGGTTCTCACAGGGTTGTGAGATGATGAGCTGAGATAATCTTTCTTCTTCCCTCCCTCCCTCTGTCCCTCCGCCTTCCTCTCCTGTCTCTCTTAAAACTGCTGCCTAATAAGGTACCTGTTTTAACCTTCCATCCTGTTCTCTAAGACGTTCTACCTGGTAAATCATGTTCCCTCTAGTCCGGGATCTGATCCCTTCTGCATCCTCCTCTATGGAGATCAGAGTAGATTTATTATCCTCATTTTACACTTTGGGAAATGGAGGCACAGCCTAGTCAAAGAACTTAATATCTCACAGCAGGGCAGGGGCAGAGATCTGGCTAAAAGGCAAATCTCAGGGCACTTGCTATTTCGCCCCAGTGTCAGGGCACCTCTGGCGCTTATCTCTGTTCAGTCTGGGGTTAGCTCATCCCTCATTACCCAGAGCTCACCCCTGTGGGCAGGAACGCCATGCGAGCTGTGTTCTTACCATAGGCATTTTCTTCGTCTCTGGCCATCTTCCTTCCTCCCATGCTCACCTGAAAGCGTCCCAAACACCATTTGTTGTTTCATTTTTCATTGATTTATTCATCAAATAGGTGTAACTACCTACAATGTGTCAGGCAGCGTCCAAAGAGCTGGTGACACCACAGTGAGAAAGTCCTGGTTCCCTCCTGCCCCTGAACATCTGAATTTAGGGAAGTACGTTGGAAGAGCCTGGTCTGGGGCTGGCATGAGACTGTGAGAACTTGGCTTTGTCATTTCAGGGACTCCAAGTGCAAAAAGCAGAGCAGAGACTATAACACTCACTCTGTGTCAGTGAGGAAGCTGTAGATATTAATTTTCCCAGGTAATCCTTTTCAGTGACGTAAGTTGTAGATATTAAGTTTTCCCAGGAGATTCAGCAGCCAGGGGAGACTTTGGAAAACCCTGAGGGCCAGAATATTTGCTCCGTGACTTAAGGAAGCACCTTAGTGTGGTTGGCCTGGGAAACAAACAAGAAGAAAACTGGAATTTTGTTTGTGGAAATTGGAAAACAGAGATACCTGCGAAGCTGACCTGGAGAGCCTCTGACTCTGCTCCCAGAAAGCCAGAGAATTTGGCTCGAAATTTGTCTAAATATGATCCGTGTGCTGGAGAGACTGGGATGCTCCCTTCCAACTCCTGGTGTTCTTGCCCCAAATCTGTGTCTTCTTGAAGTAAAGTGATGGTACCCAATTCAACCGTCATTTAGTACAGTAACATTCCAGGAGCAAGTTTCCCCTATCACAAGTGCACAGTCTCTGCTCCGTCTGCGTCTCCAGCCTCAGTTCCAACCACTCCCCCGACTCAATCAGCTGCTCCACAAAGAGGGGACTTCAGGGCCTTTCCCAACCTGCCTTCCGCTTTCCCTCCTATGACCCTTCACCCTCTCCCACAGTCTGTCTGAGTCCTGTCTGTGCTTCACCATCCCTTTCAAATTCTGCCTCTTCCTGTCATCCACCTGGTTACTGCAGGTGACTGTGTTCCCTCCTGGCTCCACACAAGGGAAAGCAAAGGCAG